TTGTCTTTTTTTTAGGTAGCTGTCATGGTGCTGGTACTGATGGAGAAGACACTGCTGAGTCACTAACTGGACAATACTTTCACATCATGCAATCAAATCCAGGAATTTTCTGGGATGTGACTCAGAGTGGGATGACCTTCCCAAAACCAAGATGGACTGGGCAACCTGGGATAACTGTCAGTATGCTACCTAGATCAGGACCACAACTGTAGCAAACTGTTAATGGTGTCCACCACACTGCATTTAGTGGTAAACAAAAAAAGCTATGGTTCTTACCTATATCTCCAGGGTAACATGTAAACTGACATAAGTATGGGAAAATTTCTTGTGGTCTATTGAATCTGGCCCAAGCTGAGAAAAGATCTGAGGCTCGGCAGCCATGTCTTTGCCATATGTCTCTGAAAGGCCTTCGATGTGGACAAGAGCTAACTGTGGCCAGCCTTTGCAAGCCAAAAAACCTTAGAACATTCATAACCATTCAAGTAGGTAGACAGAGGGCTCAAAGCAAGACTCAGCACACAGGCCAAATGGTGCATAAATACCTGCCAAATGCTTGCCTTTAGATTTAAGACACGTGGAATAATGCTATCACCTTTAACGCATCATGAAAACTTTTAATGCATGATTAATTGTGTAATTATGCTTATGCAAGACCCTGGGAAGTAGGAAGCTGGTGGCGCCTTGGGCTGAGCAGATAAGATCCCGGGAAGGAATATAAATAGGGAGAGATTCCTTCAGGAGATCCCATTCAAATTTTTTAAAACACCAACAGAAAGAATGAAAGTCCTGTGGATCTTTGCCTTCCTCGGAGCAGCACGTGAGTTTTAAAACAGATATTTGATTCTGCTACAGTCTCTGAAGTTGGAGCGTACAGTGGGAACAGCCATCTTTTTCTCTCCACTTTCCTCAGCAGGGGTACAAAATCAGTGGGTGCTTTTGGGCTCAAAAATTAATTGACTTTTTAATGGACATCTGGCTTTAAAGTATGCTGTCTTTCCCCATTAGATCTTTTAAATCAGAGGGTTACTCTATTTGCAGGCAGGTTCTGTTTTTCTTTCTAAATAGACACTCCAAGGGCAACCTGATGGATTCTTAGGATTTGACCATCTTAAACAGTTGAATGCCTAAGCTGGACCACTTTTTGCTCCATGGATAGTGTCTTTATAATACTTCTACTCTTCCCTCCCAACTTTTTAGAAATCTGCAATTTTCTTAGATGTACTAAGCCCCAATGAGTACAATGTTTGGCTGTAAGAAGAAGCACAAAGAAACCTCCCTCAGAACACAAGGCAGCCTTTGTGAGACTCCCGTGGATTAAATTAAGTTTAAATGAAATTCCTTGGATGTCTGACTTGAGAGGGAACCCTAGATTTGCTTTGTATTTGACTTAAGGCTAAATCTATTAACACTAAACACACACACACACACACACACACAAAACATATCTTCTTTCCTCTGAGAATTCACCTGAGAATAAATCAGGTTTACCATTTGATTTTGGTATTACTTTTTGGCAACAATCCTCATTGTTCCTTTTCTTCGGCTGTTTCCCTCAAAATACATAGAATACTAGCATATTAAGGAGATGGCTTGATGCTTAGAACTCTTCTTTCTGATATCTACTGTACATACAGTACCTGTATGTACTTATATGTGTATATGTGAATGTTCATTATTCATGTGTGTATAATTTTATTTATTTATGAAATGTCTAGACTGCCCCAATCTCTACAACTTGAAGGATCTTTCAGACATGTTACATATGCTTACATAAACCTACATGCATTCATACATCATCTGCACTTTGAGAAAGCATAAACCACAACTGATTACCACCTTGTTGGGAACTTGGAAACATACATTAGGGATGTTGAAGGAATTTGGCCATTGGAAAATCCAGTATAAAGTAATCTCAGTTGAGGCGAACATATCTCAAATTAGGGAGGGTTAGTGGTTCTCCTCTATAAATTGCACCCATTTCTTCACGGCCAGAGCATGGTATCAAGAAGAGCATCTACTCCAGTTGGCTTGTTAGATGATCGTATTTATTCATTTTGATGTTCCTGCTCTTGCCAGTTGCTGCCCCCGTTGATGATGATGACAAGATTGTTGGAGGATATACATGCCAGAAAGATGCTGTCCCTTATCAGGTTTCACTGAATGCTGGTTACCATTTCTGTGGTGGTTCCCTCATCCATCCCCAATGGGTTGTTTCAGCTGCCCATTGTTATAAATCGTGAGTGAAGAGTATTTTTATGCTGATCTTAAAGCAATTCTGTTAAAAGCAGATCTCTAGACATGGAAGTTAAAATGCACCAATAATAAATCAATGTCATATTCATATAGGAAAATCTTGCATACTTGTGATTCTACTTTTATTTATTTCTAGTCTGGTGTTTTATTGTTAAAAAAAAATCCTAAAGCAGAAAATGTCTATGGATATCAAAATAATCTTGTAGGACTATAATTGTCCACTCCATAATATATATTATGATAGTGGTATGGAAATGTCTTAAATAAATAAATCACACTTCACTGGAAAAGCTACATAGAGTGCAACTCTAATGATAATGACAGGGTTCCTTACATCAAATATGTTCACTTGCTAAGCTAACTCATTACTTGAAAGTCACTCACAGCGTTCTTCAGAAAGAGCCTCTTAGGGTACTGATTCAAAGGGCATTTTTTTTCGTACCTGGATCATGAGAGTAGAGTCCTATTCAGGATCTCCAAGGTCAGGGAACTGATCCAGGGATGAAATGCAGCAAGCAGAAAATATCCTTTTGATTAGGAGAAGGCAAAAGGTCTGTCTCCAACAATTATAACAAGTCAGGCTAATGCAGACATTTCACACTATCTGCTAAAAATCAGGAATTGCCTTATGCTAGTTTTTTTTGTATCTTAAGAGGGCTTTGAAACTTCAGTATGCCTTGCAGCATAAAACTTGAACCTAACCCTAAAATGAAAGGGTTTGTACCTTGAGTCTCTTGCATGTTGTCTTATGAGAAAACACTACATTATGCTGGGGGCAAAATTGAACCCCTTACCTCCACCCTGTCACTAAGGATATGGGGATTAATAAAACTGTTATTTTATTATTGGGAGCCACCCAAAGTCATTGACAGTCGAGTGGCATACAAGTGTAATTAATTAAATTAATTAATAATGATTTACTGCCTGCTTTCCAGCTTTGCAATAGTTGGAGGCTTTGTATGCATATTCCACTAATTTATGCAAGAGTTATATGAAGTGTCTAAGCAGCTTTAAAAAACATCACTCTGCTTTTCTTTGATGTGCATTTTCTTGCAATGGGCTTTTTAAAATGTACATTCTTTTAAAATGTAACTCTCATTGTATGCAAATTTCAAGAGCATTGTTTCAGATGCTTTGTGGGGGTGAGCATAGAAGTTGATTAAGGAAAGCAAATATCAGACTTCCTTGGTGGATACCAGCATTTGTACTGTTGTGGAGATGGATGAAAGTAGATTCTCTAAATTCATGTTCAGCACTATTCAGGGTAGAATTGTTTTACACCTCTGCCTCTGTGAAATTTATGATATTAATCTTGAATACATGCAAAGTTCCCATTTTAGATCAGAGTCTCTACTAAAACTATGTTGGTTGATCTGATTACCTGTTCTTCAGCATCAGATATTCAAAACTTTTTTTTATTTAGCTTGAGATCAGACATTGCCTTGTACAACCAATATAATATTGCAACGTTAACTTTCAGCCGCATCGAAGTGAGACTTGGAGAGCACGATATTGAGCAAGTTGAGGGGGGCGAGCAGGCGATCAGAGCTGGAAAAATCATTGTCCATCCAAACTACGACTCTTGGCTCTTGGATAATGATATTATGCTCATCAAGCTGGCAACACCTGTTGTTATTAGTCCAAGTGTTTCGCCTATCCCTTTGAGTAATGGATGTCCAGCAGCTGGTACTAGTTGCCTGATCTCAGGATGGGGCAATACTCTCAGCAACGGTGGTGAGTATTAACAAGAATTGGCTAACTCACTCTGGTCCCATGGACATGATTGCTGCTACCTGCCTGTCAGCCCTGCAAGGAAACCTGGCTAAGAAACCAATGCCATGTAGGTCAGGACTGCTCTTTCGAACGGCCCCCGCCCTGCTGGTATTTCAAAGGGCCCTGAAGATGGGGCTGTTTGCCCAGGCCTTTGGTGAGGACAACTGATGCCTCTTTTTTTCCTTTTCCTTGTTCCCATCCAGGTTTGTTTTTTCTGCCATCTTTGTTTCTTTGCTTTGTGTTTCTTGCATTGTTGCTTGTTTTTAAATGTTTTTAATAGTTTGTATTATTAAAAACATGTAAATTCCGCCTTTCCTTTTACTGTGGAAGTTTTCAGACACTTTTGATATCTTGAGTGGGTCACTTCAGCTCAGATATCTATTCCATAAAATGATGTAGCTAGCTAGTTGCTTTTACTTGTCTAGAATTACAAGGTTGCTGCTGATCTTGTATTCAGAAAGAGTCTGGTAGCATTTTGTAAGACTAACACATGTAACATAATAAGGCATCTACTTTCATGAGCTGCTGCTCACTTCTTAACGTCCTTATTTTGTCCTTTCTCTTTCCATCTAGTAAACTACCCTGATCTTCTGCAGTGCCTGAATGCTCCAATCCTAAGTGATGAGGAATGCAACGCTGCTTACCCAGGAGACATTACTGAAAACATGGTCTGTGTTGGATACCTAGAGGGTGGCAAAGACTCTTGTCAGGTGAGGACACTTGCCTTCTCACCCTCTGGAACAAGAAACACGCAAAATTAACTTGTAATTAGCTATACTATTTAAATTATTCTTTTAACATGTGAACAAAAAATAGGTAAGCATTAGCCACAAGCAAAGAAATATTATGAAAGCAGAAATAAAACTAGACAGAAGAAAAAACAGGAAAGAAAAAAATGATTATTAAAATCAAATAGAAATGAAAAATGCTCAGTTTTTTAAACAGTAAGTTAAACCTTGACCACACAAAGTAATACTGATCAGATTTTCCACTATGTTGATGAAAAGCCTGTTCGTATGTAGAAAGTGAAGACCTCTTGAATCCATTTTTCAGTTCAGGGTGTAGCAAGGCCTTTCCTTTGGAGTAAGATAGTATTTTTAGTTGCAGACCACACACAGTAAATACTGAGTTCTTCAAATGTCAACAGATGTCCAGTTATGGGGATATAAGTTTAAAAAGGCATGTACGTCTTTAACCCTCATTTCTCCTCTAATCAACAATGTCATGGATATGAATCTAAATGGTGCAGTTGTAGAATAAACCCCAAACACGAATCAAAGCCCCTGCCTAGTAAACCCCCAAACAAATCTTTGGCTGAACTTAGAGCATCTTAAGAACATAGAACACAAAGTTAACTTTCTTTAAAATTGTAGCCCATTCCAACTCTTTCGTTAATCCACACTTCTTGCTGGTTTCCCATTTCTATCTCTGTATTCTTTTTCAATTATACAGGAAAAATTAACTCTAGATTATGGAACCTCCAAAACATTTTGCACTAACATGGACAATTTTGGAATTTGAAACACTGCTAATATGTTGGGCCCAAACTGTAACCTCCAAAGATATTTTAATTGAATATATTGTGACTCAGCAGTTTTAGTCAGTCCAAATTCCTTTTGCAACCCATTAAATGTTTTAAAAGATTAACAATAATCTGATCCAAAATACTAATACCATTACTTACCCAGGAATTCTGAAAGAAAGTCTCACTGGGAATTTTCAGGCTGGAATTATCCCCTGATGTTAAGTTTCTATCTCAGTGTCATCCTTACATGTGTTCTGCAGCCTTCTATGGAGGAAAAACAACTGACCTATGAGTAAAACAGAACCTGTTCCCTGACAGGTTTTCAAGCAGCTCAAATAATAACTTTCTTTTCCTATATTATCTAGAGACCTGTTCATTTGGCTGTCTGGTAAGAAAGAGGAGGAAATTCTGGTTCAGAAAACAATTCTCATTTAGAAAATTGATACATTTATACCATAACTTATGTGCATATATTTTGAGCCATATGATACAGGGATACACATGAAGAGACCAAGTAACATTATTCTTATTTTAACATTTTTGTTTATTTGTTTGTTTGGAAGGCTACTTGTTGTGGGACATTGTAGATAGAAGTGGTAGGAAGGGGAATCTGGCTGTCTTTCTTCTATTTTGATTTAAGCTGGAGAAATATTTGAAGGGTTACAAACATTGTAACCCTCTTGCTTTGAAGAAAGCCTCTATGAACTCCCAAACTTTTATGAAGCAATCTTGGAAGAATCTTGCTGGGACCTCAAAAATGATTTGGCCAACTATTCAACATGATCTCCTTACAATCTGAGGCTACTTTTTAATGTAGGCTTAAGGTATACAGTTATAAATTTTTATTTATAGCCAATTGGAATATTAAACCCTTCTTCTTTTGACCTTGTAGGGAGATTCTGGTGGCCCAGTGGTTTGTGATGGACTGCTCCAGGGCATTGTCTCCTGGGGAATAGGCTGTGCTCTGCCTGGCTATCCTGGAGTCTACACCAAAGTCTGCAAATACGTCAACTGGATCCATGAAACCATTGCTGCTAACTGAAACATCTGCTTTCCTCTTGTTCCAACCTTTTCATGTGATTCATCTTAATAAAATATGAAATAAATAGAAGCTGATTACCAAACACCCTGATTGACCGTTGTTTTTATTTTAATCATAGTCATATAGATTGAGCAGCATATTAAGCAGCAGACAGATACAAGAGAAACAATTAGGACTGCCTTTCTGCCAATTTAAGAGTAACCAATTGGAGAGACATAGTGGAATGTATAATCTTCAGTCTGGGCATAAGATTTGCATGAGATCCTTTGGATGGTAGGCCTGGGATGGGGATGATTCTGTCCTGGAGTGAGAGAATGGGGAAGATGCTTTTATCCCATGAGTGTAGGGATCCCACATCTGGAATGAGAATATAGAGGTGGGAGAGCCCTTGAAAGACTGAGCTCTAGTGGAAAGATGGTTCAGGGAGGAGAGATTACATTGGGTCCAAGTTGCAGAGATTGAGTAAGAGTCCATGCGGGTCCTGTTAGAGTGACCACTAACTAAGTCATCAGGTCACTGGATGGAAGAATGCAATGGATGGTGACAGGAAGGGTGGTTATAGATGGATCTAGGCGGTGTCAGGTTCAGCCCAAGAACCACAACAAGGCCGTCCAGTGCAGTAGAGTTCCTTTATTGACTATTACCTATTAGATAGAATCTTGTCAGACTAAACCTATCTACAACTACTAGAGAATATACTCCGTGAGGCTCTAGGGAGGAGCCAGCCTCATCCTCTTTGTTTTCCCACAGTCTTGCTGTGGGCTGAGGAGGTGCTTGCCCTTGAATGTCTCTCCCCCCTCCTGACAACCTTGAAGCTCCGTTCCAGAATCTTCCCTGCTCATGCCATCCATCACAAGCAGGGAGTCTAAGATAGGGCTAGAGGGAGGATTTCCACAGAGATGGGGAGATACAGCAGGAGCTGTTACAGTGGCTGTTCCAAAGAAAGGGAAACAGATGATTAGTGCTAGTCTTAATTTCTGGTCCTAAGAACTTAGCCCATTGGTCTGATACCAAATTGATGGTATCTTCCTGATCTGATTTGTGACTTTCTCATACTTCTAACATGTATGCACAAAACACACATGGACACATAGAAGGCACAAACAGAGTAAGCTGTCAACGAAGGATCTTTTCCTTGATTTTAATTATCTTGGAAAAGAAGGTTGAAGTGGACTCATATTTAGAAAGAAGAATGAACAATCCTCATCCCATATACTGAAAACCCTCAGAAAGTATCAAGCATGCATGGCAGTTAAGTTTAAGGGAGAAAAACTTCTTATGGTAACAATAGACGACCTTCTCTTAAATTTTGCTGCCATATCTGGGGTAAGAGCTTTCAGGAGGGTAGAACTGGAGAGAGAAAGGCTAATTCACTGTATACTTGGCTCCCTCTGTTTACAATTAACTTCTATTTTTCTACCAATGGTCTTTTTCTACCTTAAACTTAATAATAATGTGAGAAATGGGATGTTTTAGGGTTGCTGATCAGAAATAAAAATTCTCTCTCTCTCTCTCT